TCCATAAAATTGGCTTTAAACACATGCAGGTTTTACGCTTTATTACGTAAAAATCATGTGAAATGAAGTAGGGAAATATTACTTTAGATAGCATTATTTCAGTAACGAAAATATAAATATACATCCATTTGCCTTTTTAAACTTTACCCAAAATTTTCCACAGAAGAGGACCGAGATTGTTTTTGCAAATGAGTCAAGTGAGTAAGCATTATCATGTTGGATAAAGTCTATATTACTAAAATTTATTTTCCCTTTCAATGAAAATTGATGACGACTAAAGTGTATTGCGATACTTGCATATGTAAACATGACTGTTTAAACTATGTTCACACTATGTTTACTGAATTTTTTTTTTTTTTGCGCTTTTATGATATCGATTCGAAAGTTGTTATCCTGCAATTCTTTTCAAGATTATAAAATTAACAAAGATTCCCACGTACAATTACAGTGGTATAATTTTATCTTTAATTACATTTCACGGTTATTTTTATATTACAGTAACCAATTGTGGTATTTGGGTTTCTAGGTTACTCTAGAATAAAGCTAAGTGTATCTGTTGTTCTTTGGACTTCATACATTTGGAGATAAAGTTTTAAAATTTAACTATATGGGTCAATAAAGTACACAGTGCATGTATTTCAAAGCTGATAATTATTGGCCTATATTTCCCAATTCATGCCTGGTATGAGGAAAAACAAAGCGTCTGATAAGCGTGTATTATGGTTTATCAGCAAAACGAATGACCCAAAAGTGTGTCACTTACAATGTTTGATGAACATTTGAGCTTGACTTCTGTTCGTTATCTCCATATATTTCATTCTTTTTTTTTAATTGTTTTGTGGACAATTCTAGTAGTAAAATCAATGCATGATTAAAAATGAAGAAAACAAACGGTGATCAATCTAACAATACACATCTATAATTAAGGCATAAAAACGGGCCTCAAGAAATCCGGAGAAGGGATCCAGTGCCTAGGAGGAGTAAACATCCTTTATTAAAGGTCACATCTTCTGTGAACCTTAATCGTTGATCTGGTAGGCGGAACTTTCGTAGCCAAACAAAGGTTTGTCTATTGGGATGAATCAAGTCTGCAAAATACGACCCAGAGATAAGATGTGTATAACAAAGTCACAATATCAACAAAAAAAGTACGAAATGCTACAATGAAGCGCATTGATTTGACTTTTTGAGCTATCTTTAGAGGTTGATTGTCATATAATGAAAAACCCATTTTTGTAAAAAGGAAAAACTCGGACAAATGGCTTATCAAAATACCTGTAGTACAGAAATTCCACAAATATAATAGCCAATCAAATTAAAAGTCTACATTAACATAGAGCAAGCACATGTTCGACCGATAGCTGTGTTATGGTAACTCCAATTAACATGATAAATTCATAATTATGTACACAATTGTTGCAATACGTGTTTTTCTGAAGCTGGAAATCTCTAAATCTCTCTTATAACTTTAAAAATCTCCATTTCGATGTAACTCCTGATGCTTGTCGCGAAAACTGGGGTGTCCTAAAACATTACGACGAATATTTCTTCTTCTTTTCTAAAGAAATTGGCGTGCCATTATGTTGTAATTGGCGTTCAAAGCATGACTCACAAAGTTTCATCCAAACGAAAAATCTTACCAATTCAATGCGCTTTATTGTAACTTTAACCAAGGTTGTTGAAACACTGTAACATCAACTTATGTATCAGTTGATTGATTTTCATTGTTTAAAGCTGAGTCGGCAATATTTCAGCGAACCTTCGTCGGTTTAAAAAATAATCCTTTAAGGACCAAAGGATTAGGAACACCTAATATGCGAAGACTGCATAAATGCTATCAATGAGGAACTACAGAGTCCTTTTACATGTAATATCCTATTTATCTTAATATGATATATAGTTCTTGTTTTTAGAATCAAAGTAAGATTTTTTTTTATAAACTTAAGTACGTAATTTTATTCAAAACCAATAACAGGTTACAAACATTTCCTTGTATTATTTTTTTTAAAGTTGTTGTCTATGATGCCAATTTAAGACATGACGATGTTAATACGCAAAAAAAGAAAAGGTGAGCGAAACAGGGGAAATGTATATTTTGGACAAATGGCATCTTCGCTAGCCAAGGGTTTCTGATACGCTACTCTCCTCATCAGGAGAGTAGCGTATCAGAAACCCTTGGCTAGCGAAGATCGGCAAATAGTTAAAAAAATACTATATTTTCTGCTTAATATATATAGTGATGACCTCAAAACCAGTTGCATGGGATTTTCAAACCTCTTATTTTTCTCTTTTGCTAATGAATGAACAGATACGTGTGCCTGAACTTTTCTTAAAACATAGTCACAGTCAGTGTCAATAACGGCAATGGCAATAATGATGCGTATAATGATGCGTATGTTTTTGAATATTTCTAATGAGAAGAACGTTTATATTAGATAATCGAGATATTCTCGTTAGAACTTTTTAATGCCACTTATGTCAAGCCATCACAAGAAGTAGTCAGATACCAGCGGCGGATTCAGGAATCTTAAAAAAAGGGGGGGCGACCAGAATGGGTTTGGGGTAGGGGCCCACGGCCACACCAAAAAGTATTAATTTGTTAAATCTTATGTATAATTGGGACATAAAGGGGACCCGGGCCCCCTGCCCCCTCTAAACCCGTCAGTGGGTACCAGGAACGAAAAGTATGGGGGAAGGGGTAGCAAAATCAACAAATTTACATCTTAAACTAGTTTTTCAAAGTGAATTAATTTTTTTTAAAAAAGAATATTGCAATACCCAGGTCTTTGGGATCCCTTTAATTCTGCACATAATGGTTTTTTTTCTCACTGATTTGATTACCTACGTTTTTAAATTAAAAAAATAATTCAAAAACAAATTTTAATTTGATTGAAAATAATAGGCAAATAACTGTAATTTTATTTTAAAAAATAAAATAAAATAAAAAAAGCATGACTATGATCTCATAAAATGATTTATCTATATATAAATCACCAATCAGCTGAAGATTAACAGCATATATTTTTTAGCAAAACGAAGAAAAACGAAGGCACTGCTTTAGATCTATTGCTGAAGTCTTGGGTAAATAAGCACCATCATCTTACGATTGTATATCACAAACAATCTAGCTGTAGCGTGTATATTGTATTCATTATCACTAATTAATTTACATCTCATGCTGAGGGGATTAAATATAGCAACTCACATGTTTATCTAATTGCTCGGATATTGTACGTCTTTACTGACTAGTAAGATAGACAAAAGAACTATACACAGTGCAAGTCTTATTTATGATAAATATCAGGAAGCTATTTTTTATTAAATAATATTGTCATTGGTAGTATTATGAGCCAATCAAAAACAAGCTCAATGTAGTACGAAGAGTAGGTTGACTTTTAGTGAAATTTAAACATAATTCATTATCGATATGTGGCTTCTCAAGATGAATGAAATATTCTCCTAGGGATGTTAAACAGAATAAAAAAACAACGAAAAGAAACGAAACTAGTTAGGATGTCCTCTGCTTATATATTAGGATTTTAAAACGAACTGAAAAAATTATCATTTATAAGCTATACCAAATCCTTTTTCTTTTTTCTGAGAACACAAAGAAATGTTTAGGCATACATATTATTTATTGTAAAGAACAATGAAGAAGGGCTTATGAACGAAATGGTCCCTTAATAATTACAAAACTTAATACACGGTTATATAAATATATAAAGCAGGAGAAACAGTGATAAACAAACAAGTGAAAAACATAATGATTGTTTGACTTTCATATAACTGATCTGGGTTTGATATAATACAACAGACAAACAACACAAAATTATATGTATTCGTGCGCCTTGGAATATGTTTCCGCTGTTTGCGTGTTACATAAAGTGCTCTTGTACTGTTATGTTTACTTCCTATTTCTTGACCTTCATTTAATCCTCTGTAAACCAGGACATTTTAAACTATGTTTTACATGAGCACACTTGTTATCATATGCGGATGACCGATTTACTGCCTGTGCAGATGAAGACACGACCTACGTCATAAATCAGAACTTGTTTAAGTGTCATGAAGAGTATCTCGGATAGATAGCATATGAAATAGGAAATAAAATATATGAATATAATTTGACATGCTATAAAAAAGGTATGATCTACTTTAGAAAAGGAATACATATCATGTATATATGTATACATGTCTTTATCCAAATAGAAAGACAACTTGTACTTCTTAAGACAGTCAATAATTTAAAAAAGAAAAGCCTTAATATAATTGTTTGACATACGTATGATGTAGAGATCAATGATGAACGATGAAATACTCTAATTTATCCGTTCAAAAAAACCAAATTTTTTTATTGATTTGTACGTGATATTCTCAGTGAAAATAACCAAAGGGCAAACTAACCTTCCTGTCAAAGAAAGAAAAAAGGAAGAACAGTGCAAATAAATAATATCAATTCTAACTTTGAGTGTTGTTCAATAGATATTTGCAAAATGCAATTTTAAGGTACACCCCCCCCCCCCTCTCCAAGCACTTTCCTTATATTTTACATTACTTAAAGTATAACCTTTTCACATTTGTACATGAAGGATATGGAGATAACAAAAGCAGAGCAATCATGGACCTCTAAAAAAATCAGAGATGGGATCAGGTGCCATGGAGGAGTGAGCATCCCCTACTGACCGGTCGCACACGCCGTGTGTTCCTTGTCGTAATCAGAAAATAACGGAAAAATCCGTCGTCAATTCAGTGTATAAATAATCGAGTAACAATAATGAAAAACGTCAGTCAGCATTTGACTTAATGTTAATTTTTATTTGCTGACAAGGTCATTGTAACGACCTAAGAATTTACGAAATGATGACTTTAAACGAGACTGGTGATATTTGTTTGTGAATAATTTACCTCGTTTTAAAAAGTGTTCATACGTAGAGCATGCTCTTGCATATCGAATCAACTTAGATATATAAACAACTTACATGTATCACAATGTATCTCACCTTGAAATACATGGAGATAGGAAAGAGTATTTAAAGATCCCAGAAGTCCATTAAACAATACAAAAGTTTGGACAAGAGCAAAAATGGAACTCTAAAACATCAGAAATGGGATCAGGTGCCATGGATGAGTGAGCATCTCCTGCCGACTGGTCACACCCGCTATGTGCTCCTTGTCATAATCGAAAAAAGGGAAAAAAATCGAAAATTTAGTATGGACATAATGACCTTACAAAAAGAATTAAGAAAGACGCCGGTCAGAATTTGATTAAATAACAGATTAATGATACCGTATATAATGGAGTCTCAACTAAATTTTGATTTGTCTCAACTATTTTTTTATTCAAATATCAATTTGTTAAGGTTTGTTTATAAATGGCTCGTGCGTCACCTTACAAAAACCTATTCTGAAGCAAACATTTAAATTGACAAAATTTTACTTTTCAAAGTTGAGTAAAATAAAGTTAAATTGGTAAAAGGAAAATACTGAAATTCCCGATGGAGTTGTTTTCATTAGAATTATTTTTCCATTTTAAATCTCCTTACCTGCATTGTTGCAATGCTATTTCATTTGTACAACTATATGCGAATGCAGATAATTTATATGTCTCAATTCCTCAATGCAGGACTTCCATTACTATGCAGTATGAATGCAGGCTCAGTCAGGTATTGTGCATTATAATGTCTATATCAATGTCAGGCAAGGGCTGACTCCAAAGTAAGTTAATGCAGGCATTGGCTGACTTCAAAGTCAGTCAGTCAATGCAGGCATTGGCCGACTACACATCAGTCAGTCAATGCAGGCATTAGCTGACTGAATATCAGTCAGTCAACGCAGGCATTAGCTGACTGAACATCAGTCAGTCAATGCAGGCATTAGCTGACTGAACATCAGGCATTGGCCGACTGGACATCAGTCAGTAAATGCAGGCATTGGCCCACTAATATAATAATACAGTATACATAATTAGATTTATTTCAGTTGCAATGTAGATGGTGTACAAATAATAAAGAATGGAAATATATGGCATGTCATCCATCGTTGCAATCTTCGATCTCTTCCATTTGTACTATATAATGTTTATTTGTATTTCATAATTTTTCATTTGTATTCTAGAATTTTTATTTGTATTGTATATTTTTTATTTGTTTTCCATAATTTCATAATGTGTAGTAAAATTTCGTATTATATACTGTGCTACCATTATTCCAGAAGTGGTGTAAATTATATTTGATATAATAGACAACTGCATCTTTAATAAGAACAAAACTTGGAGATTTTCACATCTTGTGATCGGTCTTCAGCGAAATCACCAGCTTCGCTGAAAACACAATATATTGCACACACAAGTGCCCTTAAGTTCATATGACAAGGATGCCAGATCTCCTCATTATCGAAATCCTATGGGAAATAATTGTGATTTTTTCAAAGATCGCTCACTGTTCGATATCTTCACCTAGCTTCAACATAATGATGTTTTACTTGAAAAAAGATCATTGAATCGTCATTAAAAGCTAACAAATATAAGCCAAGCAAATGTTACAAAACCAATAGCTGAAATTATTTTTGAGTAAATATTAATATTCCTTACATGGGCAAGATTTTTATATTACCATATCTGTTCAATTTAATTTATTAGGAAAGTATAATTGACTTTAGGTTATTGTCAAATAAATATAAGTATTTTTCTTCTTAAAATAAGTTTGAATAAAATTTGGCGATGTAAACTCATGTACGTGTTATAAATTTTTATACTCCGAATATAGAGAAAAAATTCTTTTGATTTAACCTTTGTATATGTACTTTTAGAATCATCAATGAAATAATCCTGTACATATTGCATGATTTTATTTTTTGATGGCTCTTGACCTAGAATGATAATCAATATCAACTCAGAGATAAACTTATGAATAAATAGCTAAATGAGATTGCCATTGTTGTTTCCAAATTAAGAGAAACAGAAAATACAAGTCATCGCCGATTTTTTTTAAGCATAAATGTCAATAATTAAATATTTCAGAATGATTTCCTGTATTTTTTAAATTAATTCTCAATTTTCATTATATATTTCATGAAACATGTAACAGGGATAACATTTTATTAAGGTATTAATGAATATTGCGTTTATACACACAGTAAAAATTCTATTTCTTCAAACTTCTTTTTAGTACTGGAAGTATACACTCATTAGATACTAGTAGATACTTTGTTTGCACTTTGAAAAATATTGATGTACTGTTTTTGAAAAAAAATCTTTATGACATATGTTGGTATATTTTATAGTAACTTACTATTTATATGCGATAGATAATAAATTCTGGACACTAAGTATCTTGATATATGCTAAAGACAATGTATAAAAACGTAGTTGAATAAGTTGAAACAAGTTGAAATAAATTTTTAGACAAGAAAATACTGTATAATGTAAAACACATATTTTCGTGGAGTTTGAGCTTGAAGACCACAGCAAATAATTTCCTTTTCTCGGCATTTGATTTTGTTGTTGGAGAAGTGTTGAGCAGTATATTTCATTTTAAATTTTAGATTTCGAGGTGGTCATAAATTTGAGGGTTTCTCCATAATTCGAAAACAACGAACATCAAATCCCCACGAAAAGTATTGTTTTTCATAGCATAATATATGTTGATGTTCCCTTCCTATGCTTTTAATTCCCACCTCTAGAATTGTATGGGTCGGGGTTTTATGCCCTGTTCACTGGTTTGTTTTGTTTATAACTTTTTTTAAATTGATCTCTGATCGTTGTCTTCACATTATCCAATAAATTACTGTATATATTTAGTATATGCTGATTTATGTTATAGTGTGTCATATGTATATGCTATGGAGATAAATTACTGTGTTCCTGTGATATCTAAATAACGATAAACATGCTGTATTTTATAGTTACTAAATGTGTATGATTTATGTAAGTATATGTAATATACAATTAATTATGATATATGATGCGGTATATGATACAACAATATATTGCCAGAAATTTTAGAGTGTAATATATTAGTGAAACAAGAGGCCCATGGGCCACATCGCTCACCTGAGAAGCTTTGACCATGCTATTCTTAACCAGATTTTTCCCTTGTGACCTATTGTGACCCATCGTATCCCACAGGTCATAATTTGGACAATTTAAAATCTACACTATCCCATTATGCTTCCACATAAGTTTCAGCCATTCTGGCCCAGTGGTTCTTGGGAAGGAGAATTTTAAAGTTTTTCCCCATATATTTCTATGTTAAACTTTGATTTCCTACTGTGGCCCCGCCCAACCCCCAGGTGCCATGATTTGTACAATATAGAATCTACACTACCCCAGGATACTTCCACGTAAGTTTCAGCTTTTCTGGCCCAGTGGGTCTAGAGAAGAAGATTTTTCCTATATATTTCTATTTAAAACTGATTCCCTATTGTGGCCCCGCCCAACCCCCGAGGGTCATGATTTGAACAATTTAAAAATTACAATACCCCAGGATGCTTCCACATAAGTTTCAGCATTTCTGGCCTAGTGAATCTTGAGAAGAACATTTTTAAAATTTTCCTATATATTTCAATGTAAATCTTTAATTCCCTATTGTAGCCCCCCCAACCCCCTGGGGTCATGATTTGAACAATTTAGAATCTACAGTACCCCAGGATACTTCCACATAAGTTTCAGCTTTTCTGGCCTAGTGGTTCTTGAGAAGATTTTTTAAAGGCCCTTGTTTTTGTCTTTTCTTGATTATCTCCCCTTGTGAGAGGACCTGGCCCTTAATTTTAACATTTAAATTTCCCTTCACCCAAGGATGCTTTGTACCAAGTTTGGTTAAAATTGGCCGAGTGGTTTTTGAGAAGAAGTCGAAAATGTGAAAAGTTTACAGACGGACGGATAACTAGACAGCTAGACGGACGGACGACGGACAAAAAAGAAATCAGTGAAAGTGATCAGAAAAGCACACTTGAGCCTTCGGTTCAGGTGAGCTAGAAAGGAAAATGATGAGCAGGGATCTATATATCTAAAATATGTAAATAAATAATCAAACAGCCTCCTATCAATCTAAGTTATATAACCTCTACGAGTGTGTAATCCGTTGTTTGACAACTCGGTTCCTTTCTCTTAAGGTGTCATAAGACATGCTACTTGTTGATATTATTTACAAAATGTCATCTACTGAAGACTTTGAAGATCTTATGACATTCATTATGCGTTCAAGACCTTTATATTTAATAGATCAATGTACTTTAAATATAAATTAGTACATGTACAGGTGTTGTATCCTTTAAATGAACCTTAATCGTAATTTTATTGCTATTTGAGGGCATTGACATTGTAGATTTGTGACCAATCATTTAGCTAACAGGGGTGCTGAATAACACCAGATTGACAAAATAAAACATGCTTTGATCAAAGTTCAAATTTTTGACTGAAATGACAAATAAAAAGTTCAACATTGACACACTGTTACGAACACTAGGTTATATGAAACCATTATCTATATTTTTATATTTTTCTATAAGTTTACTGTGATATTTACAATTATACAGTGTTTAATTTCTTTTAGAAAAAAGTTACACTTTATTTCGAATGTTTTAAATGTTAAATTTTATACTTTTTTTCTAACATGAACTTCGTTAGTGTTGTCATTTTTGCTCAGAAGAAATTAGTAATATTCTTGTGATTTCTGCTTCCTCATTCTGATTGATACGTAAACTGAACTTAGTAAGAATTTACATAAAATTATTCTTTATTTAATTCATATGTATTAAAGTGAAATGTCGTCAAATGATTGATTGGCAAGATATTGATTTTAACACAGCAAATTAAATTGAAAATAACTTAGCTCGTGATCAAAGAAAATCAACAATTGGACATAAGTTGCCAATACGACGTAAGTGAAATAAAATTACTTTTTCAACTGACAGATAAGCAAACGATACGGATATTTCAACAACTTCATTTTCAGTCAGCATTTTATAAGGCCATATGACCTTAATAATTAAAATATTATTTAACATTGTGTAATATTTTGACTGACATGTTTCGTCACAGTTGTTAGGCCTAAGTGTGACTAAGAACTGTTCTGTCTACATCGAAAGTTCATCAGGATCATAGCAGACGTGACCAATCAACAGGGGGATGCTTACTTCTCTTAGGCTCCTGATGTGACCCATTGGAATCGTAAGAGATTGGTATTTTTCGCTCTGATAACAAATAGGTATTATTCAGAGCTTAATTAAGGTCTCCCGTTTCCAACGGAAGACCTTCTACTGATTCTGAAGATTAAGATTATTCTTATTATTCTTTTTTTTGTTTTCTTCCTAGACTCCAACTTTGAGGCCTCATATCTCACTTAATTCTCAATGGATTTTGCTCAAATTTTAAGACATTATAGAAGGTAATAAATTCTATCAGAATGCTGTCGATAATTTCAAAAAGTCACTTCCGGTTTTGAGTTATTTCCCTTTAAACGAAAAATTATAGGCTTTCATTTCCAGACAAAGGCTCAGAGACCACTAGAGCTGGAGCAGCAATTTTACTGGTTTTAGATAACAGAAGGATTTAAGTTGTGCACATCGGTTTTTGTTTTTCGATTTCTCCATTCAAAATGGCGTTATACAGGGGTCAAA